CAGGCCGTTTCTCAATTCAAGTCCGTTCTTGACGAGAACGCGAGTACGTACTCGCATTCTCGTGAATTGAGAAACGGCCTGGAGCTTTTGTAGCGTTAGCGTGTCTAATGATCCATGAAGTTTACTGGAATGATTACAAAACTAAAAATAACAGTTTATAGTGAACCAAGTAACTGTTAGACCATGATATAAAGGAGGGAGCTGGGTAGCGCTGTGGCTAGCTGTGCTCACTAGCTAACAGGTTAGCCTCTTTTAGCTCAGAAAGTTAGCGATATTAAAGGGGAACACCAGTTTTTTACATTGGGCCCTTGATTTTACGTTATTCCATCATGTTCTACTCATCCATCTGAGTTTAGTGTCATTTGTTAGGTTATATCCAAGTAACGTCTTCCTATGGGCAACGAGTTGAAGGCACAAACTAAACTGTTCATCGTTTATTCTTTATGGTACGCCAGCATTCAGAACATGGAGGCCAATCACTGTCCCCCAGATATCCGCGGTTATATTTTTATCTTTTAAAAACAAAGCGGCGCGTGTATGACGTCATCAGCGCGCGACAGTTCAGTTTGTGCCCTCAGTCGTTGCCCATAGGAAGACGTTACCTGGATATAACCGCAACAATGGAATATCTTCAGAACGGCTCCAAATGACACAAAACTCATATGGGTGAGTAGAACATGAGGTAATAACGTAAAATCAAGGGGTCAATGTAAAAAAAAGACGCGTTCCCCTTTAAGTTGCACTACTTTTAACTTTTTGTTAACCACGATCGTTTTCTAATAACTGTTGTTTTTTTTGTCTAAAATCTCCAAGAAAGTAACTCACTTATTAAGATGTTCCATTTGTCTTCAGCTGCCCTCAGATCTTGATAAAAAGAATGTAAATAAGCAAATACTTTTTATTGTTACCTTGTTAAATGGCAGTCAGCCTTGCCATATGATGACATCACAAGAAGGGGCAGGGCCCCGATCAGATCTGGTACCTACACTGGCGCTGAGTGGTAAATGGCCTGTACTTTATAGCGCTTTTTCTAGTCAGAGGACTTGACCAAAGCGCTGACACTCAGTAATTCTCAGATTCACACACACAGTCACACATGCTGGGGAGCTAAATTGTAGCCACAGCTGCCCTGGGTCTCACTGACAGAAAGAAGGCTGCCGTACATTAGCGCCACCAGTCCCCCAAACCACCATCAGTAGGCAATGCAGGTGAAGTTTCTTACCCAAGGACAGAGCAACACTGAAAGCCAGAGCCAGGGTTTTAACTGACAACCCACTGGTTGCAAGGCAAACTCTGACGCCCCTGAACCCCGTGTTTGTGTTGTTTCAGCACCAAGGAGCAGAGCCTGGTCCTCAGCAGCAGCCTGGAGTCTCTGAAGAAGGGGAAGGAGGTTCTACAGGACAAGCTGGGTTCTCTGGAGAACCAGCACCTTCAGGATGCCAGCAGGTTAAAGCAGCAGCTGGATCAGGCCCAGGCCCGAACACACACCCTGCAGAAAGAGGTACTCCCATGTTTGCAGTGCTTCATGTAGGCACACACTCACAGAGGTTCTCTAAATACTTGGTCTGTGTTTCCAAATGGGTGGTCTGGGTCACCAGTCCTCTGGGTCAGTTTGTAGAGATGCTGTGATGGAGCCCATGGTTCTGCTTTCTCTCCTCTCCTGCAGTATGAAGACACTCAGTCGCAGCTGATGGACCTGCGTCAGCGCTACCAGCAGACGGAGCAGGAGAAGCTGAACATACACCAGGAGCTGGAGCAGTGCCGGAGCAACCTGAAGCTGCTGCAGGACAAGACCAGCTCTGTGAGTCCGAAGCACCCAGGCCAGAAAAATCACTTGCTGGGGGTTCCCACCATAGAGCTCATTTGGTATCTGCTAGCACCTCCATGTTTGAAGAGACGTTCACAGTGAACGCCACAGCAGAATATTTTCATGTTGGTCAGTGGACATTTCAGCTCCCTGCAGGTCATTTTAACATGTCGGCCCTAACGCCTCCATCACTATATAGAGCGGCACTATTTACCGGACTTTATAGTGAAGTCGGTTAACTCACTATTTGGACGGAAGATCACTACTTTTCGCTCCGCGACGCTCACGTCACTCTACCTCCTCGCATGGTGCCTGTGCATCTTTGGTCTCTCTCATGATGCTTTGCGAGAGCTCCTGCAAAGCATTCTGGGATATATCCGCTTGTATGGTGACCATGGATACTGACTACTTTTCAAGGCGCTTTTTCATCCACTAGACGTTTGGACCATAGACATTATATAAATGGACGCCTCATTGGATGCTGTCGGCAGCGAGGCAGACGTACCCAGAGGGTGGCCATCTTGGCGTTTACGTATA